TGGAGCCTCATTTTAGCTTAAACTCTTAAACATGAATTTGATTCATCTTTAAATCATCCGTGTAATCACTTTAAACAACTTTCTTGATGTGTATCTGCACTTTTACATTGTGAAAACATCATTCATAAACCGGAAAAAATAACTAGTATATATATACACATATAACACATTTTGGCTCTCTATTACAATGTAACAAAGCCGGTGATTCCGTCCCGACTCCTCCAGAATCTTTGGGTCGATTTTTATTCCCTCAAAGGTGGACGATTAAAGTTTGATGTTTGAATAGTATTGTTTAATACAAACGGTAGGGAAATAGGTCTGAGGCGACTTAATATCACAACCGATATTTGTCGCATATAATGATGTTATTATATGTGCAGAAAAAAAATATCTATCTATCTATCTATCTATCTATCTATCTATCTATCTATCTATCTATCTATCTATCTATCTATCTATCTATCTATCTATATATACCAAAAGCATTATCGTCCCTATCATGCTTCAATTTTGCATTCAGCATTTTTTTCTTTTTCTCTTCTTTTTTTCAAGTATCGACCGAGCCATCACCAGTGGAATTTGGAATCGAAAGATGGTAATAGATATGTACATGGTATTCAAATTAAGGATTTCCAATGATACCAGCCCAAATATCTTATTCACCTACCACCACTGCCATCATAGCCTAATACTCCTCCTCCTCCCCCTCTACCTTCTACCACGTCCACTTCTTCCACCTCCACTTCCACTGCCATACATACCTGAGCGACTTATACTCTCATTACGCTTCCGCCTCCACTTACCTCTCTTCCACCGCCGACCACATATCCATTTCTCCCTCCACATCCACCTTCTCCATTTCCACCTTCTCTTCCACTTCCACTTCCGTGCCTTCCTCCTCCACAGCATCCGTTTGGAGCAGCTCTGTCACGCTCTAGCTTTTTATCTCGCTCTCTACCTATCTTTATATCACTTCATTCTATCTGTTTCTATCTCTTTCTTATATCTATATCTTTCTGAATCTTAAATATGCTCTCTCTTTCTCTCTCTCTCTCTCTCTCTCTCTCTCTCTCTCTCTCTCTCTCTCTCTCTCTCTCTCTCTCTCTCTCTCTCTCTCTCTCTCTCTATCTTTCTCTCTCTCTCTCTCTATAGCTATATAGATA